TGTTTTGCATACACACATAACTTTGTGCCAAATTAACAGTATTACAAGGCGGGGTAGCAAAGAGGCCATATGTCTAATGTATGAAATCAGCTTAGCCTAAGATATATATTTAGTTTGTTTTAATCTCTTGATTGAACATAGCAGGTGCTGAAAATATGACATTAGAAACCTGAAATTTCGAACCAAATGATGTTGTATAGGCTCCATTACAGTTTATTCTATTTCGGGAAGCAGAGGGGCTTGTATAAATTGAATTTTGACAGAAGCTCTGATTATGCATGGGACCAAGAGTAGGGAAATAGTGAGGGAAGCACTAACGAGCATCATTAATTAGATATCACCACTTTAATTAATATACATATTATGCTTCTGTGAGTAAAAAGCATTTTAGCCGAATTATTAAATAAGGCTGCTACCCTCTGAATTGAAGTTCCAGAAATAATGTTGAAGGAACACTCTTCTCTCTTCATTGCTTCATTGATAATTTCACCACAGAATATGATATTGGAAAATGCCTGACTTTGCTTGAGGTTCAAATCTGCCCTTTTGACCCCAAAAGCATCCGTGGAAATGTGAAGTTGTGGTTAACGTGTCGAGACTATACATTGCACTGTCATATCATTGAGGGAAAATTTCAACTACCAGTCCTTTATCATCCCAAACGAAATAGGATGAACGCGTCGTTTTTCATGTATGTTCGCTGAACCCAGGAAAAGGGTCAAATCGAAAAGTGATCCTACAATATTAACGCTTAACTAAACAAAAATAATCCAGGTGATTACAATTAGACATATATGATTATGTTGTAAACTATCACTTCACATTGGATTTATAAGTGGAGAAAATTTCTTTTTAAAGGACCGACTATTATCTTTAATTTAATTTGTGGACTCTGCTTATCGTTTTTGTTGAGAGAGGCGAGTCATTTTAAGACTATTTTTACTCCATAGTTGGTTTCTCATGCCACAGTATTCTGTTGAAGTGTATGAATTGAAGAGGATAACAAATCATCTTGAAAAACTGCATGAAATGGATTGCGAAATTCGCCTCCTGTCATTTGCCAAATTAACCTCTGCAGGGGTTTGACTCGCCGGACGATGAGCCGAAGTTTTCACTGCAGAAGAATATCTCTAATTACACTGTACAGTATATTGCTTCGAAATCCCATCATCTCATTTCATTATCATTTACAAGTGCATTTGTCCTAATATCCAGATGCTCCATTCATTTATTATAATTTTATGGACATAAATATTAATGAATTTTTTATCTCTATAAAACACATACCAGCAATTCAAGTTTTCTCAAGCAAAATGAAAAAAAGAGTGTTTCTTCAACATTCTTCCTGGGATTTCAAGCCATAGGATAGAAGGCCCATCAAATGATTAAGCTAAAATTATGTTTAGACTCAGAAAAGCAGGATAGGTACAGAAAACGGATAAAAGAGGCATGCACGAAGTGGTGATGTTCAATTGATAATGCTCATTAGTGTTTCTTTCACTATTTTCCTACTCTTGACCCCATGTATAATCGGAGCTTCGGTCAACATTTTTTGGTTCAACACTTCACGTTTCTGATATCATATTTTCAGCACTTGCCATGCTCAATCAAGACATTGTAGAAGATATGAAGACCAGGATGGTGGGGCCTTTTGTATAGTCGCGGTTTACTTTAATTGCAACTTAATCCTATTGGCAGGAAGACCTAGAGGAACACACCTTTTCCGGAGTCCATAGTATGCATGATCATTTCCAGAAAAAAACAAAACAATTGTGGTATCTCTATTTCTGTTATGGGCTATTGACCTATCCTATATCCTCTTATCACGTCTTCATATCAAAATTTCTTACTTTTTCACACTTCCCGCTGGTTTCCACATCCCTCTCCCACTGTGCTGGGAGTGTTGATTCAAGGCTGCGCTTCAATACGCAATCCTCTCCCTTCATGTCCGATCAGAGTCCCCTATTGCTCCGTAGAATCCCTCCTTTGTCTGCTTGTTTAAGTGATCTCACTCCATCGCTGCCACCGTATCCGCGCCACTTTCAAGGCGTTGTTCTACCCTCTGCCTCAATGAGCAAGCCCTCTAATGTCTGGATTCTCATTTCGGCATGGCAACCTAACTTGACGCTGCAGATTCCCTTATTGCTGTGCGGCATGGTCACCGTGTAAATCTCGTGGTCAAGCGTTCACTTCATGGACCACGTATATGAGCAAACTTATCCACTAAAATGCAAACTAGAAATGGCCAGCACCGTTTCTATCGCTTTTATATGACTTTCTATTGCATGACAACTTCCAAATGTGATGGCTTTATTTGATTTGAATAGGCTCACTGTAGACGTTTCTTGTTGGTTTCCGATTGTTTCTCTCTGGTCTTTTCTTGAAACTGAAAGTATTAACTTTGTCCACTCGTCTTCTTTTTGCTGATATTCCTGTTCCCTTATCTTCTTCGAGTTCACTAATCTGGCCTTCTTCACGTCTTCTGTTGATTAGATTCCTTTCGGTGAAGATATCGATGGTCTCTCGTGTCCTGCGTTTTCTTGTACTTCCACATGCAACCAGGCTTCCTCTCGATTTCCTCTCGATTTCCTCTCGATTTCCACTCGATTTCGTGTCCAGTCCGTGCGATGTGTTCAGCTATTTCGGATCTTATAGTGTCCATGTTTCTGCAGATTTATTGTTGTTTTTTGATTCGTGAGCTGATTTTTCTTTCTCTTTCACCAATCTACTTCTGCTCACAGTTGCCGCATTTGGAGCTATAGACTACTGAGCAAACCATTTTGTCAAACTTTTCGTGTTGCGTTGACAGGCTTGTGAAGAGTGTTGTCTTTTATTTTGTTATCACTTTATGATATTCCATATTCTTAGCAACTTTTGCAATTTCTGGTAGGTATATCCACTTTTTCTCGTCCTACAGATTCCTGATCTTATTTGCATAACATACTAGTTGAAATATGCTCTTTATAACCCCTATATTCCTTTCTATTAATTTTTTGGGGTTCCTGTTACTAAGGCAAATTCTACTCATTTCTCCAACTCCTCGTTCCATAACTCAGTGTCTCTTAGTCTTAAACTCCTGATGCTCATATTCCTCACTATTCCGAGTTTCAGTTTGTGGTTGTGATGAGACTGGAAATTGAGGATTATTCCCGCATATTTTTTCCTTCTCACTGACGCTGCCGACTACGATGACTATGAAATGTCTGGGAATGTACCACGTCCACTGTCCGAATCTGGAAATGATCATGCATACTATGGACTCCGGACTAGATATTTTCCTCTAAGTCTTTCTACCAATATGATTAATTGCGAAAATAAGGTCAAACAACTCCGAAATTAAATATAGATCTTAGGCGAATTGTGATAAGAGTGTAGGGAGTAGATAGATGGTTCATGACAGAAAGAGGAGTGATAGCACATCCATTTCGGCAAGAGTTGGCCCACAGATTGACGAGTTGTGGTCGGGAATGTTGCTGGGACTTGCAAGACTCATCGAAAATGCGGGCAAAATGTCTAAGAATGTACCAAGTCAAGGGTGAGACACTGGGAATTATGATGATTAATACTTCGGATAAGGTACATCCAACTAAGTCGCCCTGACAACACGCCCAAGCTGCAAAAGCGAGTTCAACCAACTTCCAAAGAAGTATATTTCCGTTGAAATCATTTCATTTCAATTTTGGCCACACGACAATCAAAATTATTAATATGAGATGTATTCACCCTAGTTCTTGGTATTAGAATTTACCCACAATGGTATGATTCGAGCTGACGTTTCCATTCAATTTCACATTGCCT